TCTCTCTCTCTCTCTATCTATCTATCTATCTCTATCTCTCTCTTTGTGGAAAAAAAAAAGAAAGACCCTGACGCATTCTGAACACCTACTTTATATAAGAATCACTTAAAATATTTCAGTTAAATACATGTACATGTAGTTGGCTACTGGCGTTTGCTTTTTTTTACCATGGGCTCCATTTGACACAGATATGCCAGTCTCTGGCATACATAATTTTGTTAAATAAATAGCTGCTGTCACCTCGTAAAAGCTGTTTTGTCAACCCTGTTTTTACAAAATTTGGGTCAACATCTCTTGTCACTCCCTAAATAAAAAGGAGTCACGGAGACCTTTCTCCCGTAATCGGGGCACATTGGTTTTCTTTTCATTTTCCTTTTTTTAAAATTGCGGCCACGAGAATCCGAGATTTACGTATTTTATATAAGTTGTGTATGGTTCACAACACGCGCGAGTCCGTAATTTTTCAAATTTGTTGTCCCCCCCCCCCCTGCTCACCTTAGAAATTCATGTAATTATCATCAAGTGTCTGAGGGTCATAACTGTTTAACCAACAGGATTAAATTAAGTTTTTTTTACCATTCGGTCTACAAGCTAAAATGTCAATCAGATAAGTAAATCGAAAATCAGTTGTTGTTTTTTTGTCTCTCCTGAAAAGTTCCTTTTGGTGGATTCGCTCGTTTAAAGAATAATACCAATGATTTGAGTCTGAGGCCTTGGGCGGGGGTAACGAACTTGTACCAGAAAAGTATTTCACCCTTGCCTTGGTTTAACAAGTAGATACATGTGAGCTGTTACGAAGAATCAGTATTTTTTTTCTTGGTAAGTTTTACGCCGCTCGCAACTACATAAAGTTATATGAGCGCTAATCAGTAAAAGTAATACATGTAGCTTAGATCCCACTTGTCATCTTTATGTACGTAAACGGCATGCCTTCATTGTATCGCATGTTTCTTTCTCTCCAACTCGAAATAAAAGGGAAATCCATTTCTTTTTCATGGCCCGGAAAGTAAGACCTATTTTCCAGAACAATTCAAACAAACACATGTATGCAAGGAGATAGCTTAGGTCCAGTCGTTATGTTCAATGTGGTCACTACTAATTACAACTCCGACTCCGAGATCACCAACACCACTTGAGAGCGGTTTTTGCGCAGGTTTTCTACTTTCTATCCTGTCCTATGCGTGGGAAATCCTTATCCTCGTCGATTAAATCAGAAATTGAAACGAGTACATGCATTTTGATTATCTGATTGGATCGTAGGTACTAGACGATGGAAGCGCACAAATTCTACTCCGGGAAGTGAACAGAACGCCATTACCGTTCATTACGTCAAAAGCTAAATGGACCATAGTCAAATAAACTCTAGAAACGTCTACCAATCTCTGAGTCCTTCCTGTACCCTGGGAAAGCATGTACATGTATATAATATGTACAGAGATTTCAGATCGTTTAGGCTTTACTATAACATTTTTTCGACAGCTATTTTGCTTCAGTTCATTCAGTAAATGGGTGGTTTTTTGTGGGTTTATAAATGCGTTAGCTTCGAATTACTATGCTTGGAATGAAAGAGACGAGAGAAAGAGAGAGAAAGAGAGAGGGGGGGAGAGAGAGAGAGAGAGAGAGAGAGAGGTGTATGCTAACAAGAGAGAGGGAGAGAGAGAGAGAGAGAGAGAGAGAGGGGAAGAACAAAAAATGTACAGCGGAGTAATCGGTTGGACATTAAGAGGTAAAACGATACTCCTGATTCCGGAATAAAACGATACTCTA